ATATTTAGAGATTATTTGATCATCAATTAATATTTTGAACCTTTCAAATATGCTTCCGTCCCTTGATTTGGATCCATTTTGGGCTCGGATTAGACCAACTTTAGTGTCGTTAGGTCCATCTAATTTAGACGTTTAATTTGACCATAAATTTATTAAAATCAGAGTTCATATATCCCAAATTTAATTTTGAAAGTTTTCAACTATATATGCTTCGAGATTCGTGCCCGATCAAGATGATTTTGGAGGCATATCATTACTAAAAACAAGTAAATATACATTTTTAAAAACACCAAAGGACGCAACCCTTCAAGTTAAAACATGAAAAATGAGAAAAACAAATTTATCCAACCCAAATAACAATGCAGCAACGTCGGGATTTGGAGAGCCGTGGAGCTCTACTCTCTGTCTTCAGCTTGACTTATAGCACCGCCACGTTGGGTTCTCCGAAGCTGCCGGCACAAATGTATATCTTCGCAAGGCTCTAACATACAATGTTGTGGCATTGTATAGTTGTACAAAAAAATAAAATCCCTGCAACCACTTGTTGAGCTCAACTAACGGAATTGTAGTCTAAATCAACAATACAACCCGATTGATTGACACAATAAGATTCCACACAAAACTAACAACATTTTTTCATTTTAATATCATAGTTTTCATATCAAAATTAAATTCAATGTTATGAAAATCGGATCGGACGACGAACCAGAAGAATGAAAGGTTTATGGTTATATGGTTTAATCAGAGTGAAACCGGGATTAAATTGGATGATGTCATAAATACTATAATTATTTTAATATAATATAATTACATAATAATTAAAATTTTAATATATATATATATATATAACACTATATAAAAAAAAGTAAAAAAAAAAATTTAATGAAAAAGAAAAGAAGAAAAAATAAGAGTGAAAAAGAATAGTAAAAAAAATAGAAAATACATAAAAACGAACAAAACATAAAAAAAAAAATAAAGTACACGAATAATAGTTTACACATCATCTTGCTCCTGGTCTGATGATTCAGAAGCTAGGTTTGCCCAAGAAATTTTTTTGCTTTTTATTATTTGTCATTTTTATAATTTGATTAGCTTTACCCTTTTCTTTTGTAGGAAGAGTTTTCAAATTTGGGCACTAATTTTTCATATGTCCAGGCTTCCTACATCCAAAG